TTAATGCGTTCAAATGTAAAATTTGTAGTTCATGATTTGACTTTGATAACTCTACTTTGACTATGTCATAAATAAAGAATTTATTTCATTATTTATTTATAAAAAGTAAGATAATTGTTAAAATAATTCTTAAAAATTCATACAAATATTTGTATATTTAAATAAATAGAGATTTTTGTGTTTAATAACCTATTGTTATACATCATAATCTTTAATTTTTTCGATAAGACATGTGTTATATTTGTAACGAAGGTACTATGTCGCGAAAAAAACGTAAAGCCCTTGCCAACAATGGAAATGTATTTACAAAAAAACTGTTTGCAATTTTGCGCTGATCATTTAAATTTGGAAGATTGGTCACCACTGTTGGACAGTATAGTGCAAGATCAAAGTCTGTCGAAAATTTATGTGTACAGTCGATGCCGCTGCAAAAAGATTAGAGAGAAAATAGACACAGAAGAAAAACTCATGAAATTACGGTAAAAATATGTTGAAAACTTGATTTGGCAAATGCCATTTTTAACATGGAACTTTTTAAATGACTTTAATACTTAAATGGAAATATATTAAATAATAATATTTCAATTATTCTCCGGTATCCGGTTTTAACTATAACTTAAAAAAGAACCATTTCTGCATCCTTTCTAATTTAATTTTTGTAAATTAAATCAATTTTATTTTTAAAGTTATTTTTCATGCAAAACATTTGAAACCTAAAGCAAGATCGTTATATCTAGGAGGATAAAGAAATAACTTTTTGCAAATTTTGTATACTCAAAAGTAACGGAAAGCATTTACAGAAATTAACATATAGAGATTTAAAACAAATCTTCTTTTTAATGATTCTAATACTTCTCCAAAATTTTTAGCGTTATAGATAATATTTGAAAAGTAAAATTAAATGCTATGATTATTTTTTTCTTTTGGATACTACTCCCCGTAAGTTTAAGCTTGTAGGTGACATCGTGATAAAAGGACAGTCGAAAGGAGAATTAAAAGATACAATAAAGGCAAGAAATAATGATATAAAAGGCATTCTGCTCGCACGTTCAGGAGATGCGCGCGGAAGGATCGACGACAACCAGTTTTGTACACGAATTGCTTGCTACGTTGCTTCGTTCATGCCATCGCAGTATGTCTGAAGAACTCGTTGATGGTTACCAGTCTCACACTTGATGGTATCCCTCTGTCACCCAAGTATCTCAGAATTCTCAGCGATGGATTGGCAAACAATCGTAATCTACGAAGCTTGTCATTGGCCAGATGTCGAATAGGCGATGCAGGTTGGTTGAAGTTCCGAAACATTCGAATTTTTAAGTAGTCAGTACATCATTTATATCTATATTTTAAGTAAAACTTTCTCCCGCTTACAATCCTTTTGACAAGGTTTTTTAATAAATATCAAAGACTAATGTGAAAGAAAGATGAAGTTAATGGCAGCATATTTGTGTTTGTATCTGTTTCCAGGATGTAATATATTATTGGAAAATTTGCAATGTAATTCAAGTCTTCATGTTCTGAATCTATCGTTATGTTGTCTCACCAATAGAAGCACTACATACTTGTCATCATTCTTCAAAAAGAGAAAAGCGGATTTACTACAAAGTGTTTGGAAGGAGTCAACATTATCTCAAGACGCTCACACAATAGTGGTATGTAATACGAGATAAATATTATTCTAATTAAAATGTCACGTTCTTACCCAAATTACTTAATATTGTTTTCATTCGCATTTCAGGAGGAAGGATTGCGAGTACTAATACTTGATGGAAATTATCTTAGCGATATTGGCTTGAGGCAATTGACACGTATGCTGAGAAATGACTTTTGGCTGAAGACACTGTGCTTACGGTGTTGCGGAATTACTCAACATGGAGGAGAAATTGTGTTGGAGCTTTTACAAACCAATAGCGTACTTACACAGATTGATCTCAGGGATAATGAAGTGTCGGCGGATATACTGCAGATTATTCGCAAGTTTTTGAAAAAAAGGAAAAGCAAAGGTGAAAGAATATCGATGAAGAAAAGGTTGCTGACCCACAAGCAAATCTTTGTACAAGATATGATTTCAAAGGACAAATCTTCTCAGCGTATATCGAAAGGGAACAAATTTCTCAAGGCTCAAGCTGTAAGTTATTGAAATTTAGTATCAGTGAAAATCGGACAATTAGACTTTTAGTGATATTATTTATAACTTTTGTCTTATGTCATAATTTTTCTCTGTTAGCATGCTCAAATTAAAACGCAAAAAGATCACAGTTTACAAGTGCAGCAAACAACACAGGTACGGAAAATGAGAAGAAAAGGTGGTAGGAAATGTAAATCACATAATGCAACGAAACCTCGTGTCAATTGGACCAACGCAGACGAGTTAAGAAATCGGCTATCTCTTATGATTGAACACAATCAGACTTTGATGAGAAACTTGGAAAACAGCACAAATTTTCTATTGAAGGAAAGAGATCACCGTTTGAGTGCGGAAGAGGCGTATCATAAAATGCAACCCAGACTGAGAAATCTTAGGAACAAAATTGCTATGCAAAATTCTATTCATTCAAATATGTATTATGAAAATCAAGTTTATGCCAAACTACAAAACATATTCAGAGACTTGAAAATATCTACAAACGGTAAAATGTTAAGAATGGATGACAAAAATCTTAGCGAAGAACCTGCCGAAAATAAAATTAAATCTATCGTTTGTTAATTTACATAACCGTTTAAACATGAAATTACCGAGTCTTTGCATAAAAATCAAATTATTCCCAACAAACTTGTGTCATTGAAATAATTTTAGATTATTTATATAACTTACTCTACAACTTACTGTAGAATTACTTAAAGTATAACAATTCAATATTAAATTTGTACAAATAGAAATTATACAAATAAATGCATCAATTACCTTAATAATTATGTCTAGTTTTTCTATTTTTATTGTTTTTAAGTTAAATTGCGTTTTGTTTCCAATTTTTCTCAAACATTACGTAGTTCGGCGCGCCACCACAAGATGGACGCTAAACTTGTATGCAATCACAAGAAAAATTTATTCAAAATTGATCAAAGGTTTATATACACACATATGTATATACAGGGTGTTACTAAATTCATGTTACAACGCTTGAGGGGTGAAAATACAAATCAAAACTAACATTTTTTACCAATACACATGGGGACGGAAACGAACCCCTAACCCGTTGGAATGCGCGATAAGTTCAGGGTAGGCAACCCGTTGACTCCTAAAAGCCGTGGTTTACGGCCAGTGCAAACCGTTGAAGAGTTCACCGAAAGAATTATCCAAGCGTTTGATGATATACGAGCTTCCCCAGGCAAGTTGCAAAGGATAAAAGAAAACATGATTCGCCGTTGCCACTTGTGCGTCGATCAAGGTGGTCGTCATTTCGAGCCCTTGCTCTAAAATGTGTTATCGGTTTACAGAACTGTTAATAAACCGTCGTTTAATGGAACTGTTGTTGTTTTAAACAAAATTCCAACATTTGTTCTTAAACGTAGCGGCCAGCGTAGTAAAAGATGTGCACAACGGGTTGCCTACTCTGAACTTTTCGCACGTTCCAGCGGGTTAGGGGTTCGTTTCCGCCCCCATGTGTATTGGTAAAAAATGTTTGTTTTGATTTGTACTTTCACCCCTCAAGCGTTGTAACATGAATTTAGTAACACCCTGTATATATTCTTATTCTGTACAAAATATATTTTTCACGTTTCTGAAATTGTTATGTTTCACACAGTCAATTGTCGCAAGAGATTTAAATATGCCATGGAAGTTTTAATTACCTGAAACAACAACCATATTTGTTCCTACACAATGCAAACATATGTTAAAATATATAATGTATGCTATATTCTAAGAGTTATAGATGCCAATTTGATATATTAAAATTTGAAATCTTAAATCACACACACGCATATAATTGTATATAAGAATGTTTTAAATATAATGGATAATCTAATTGAACAATTCAATTCTCCTATAAGATGATCATAATTTGCAATTAAAAAGTATAGAAAAAAGATCAAAACTTTTAGTAACAAAATATAACGCTATATCTGCCTTATAACTTACATCATCAAACGTTGCGATAGATAAATGGAATAACTTTCTTGCGGTAATTTTAATCACGTTACTTGATCGTGCAATTATTAAAACGAGACCAATTGCAGTTTTGTGATGTAAATTATACCAATTGATCATACACGCCATTTCCCCGACGTATTTACACTAGTACACAAATCACAATATAAAATTAGGAGGAGGAGATTATTGACAAGAAACCGTGCAATTACATATGTGTATATTTAGAAAAATGAATATTGAGTGAACATAAATTAGTGTTACTATTTAATGTACGACGTGAGAGAGATTCATCCAATCGAAAGATTAATTCGCACTCTCGATCTTGGGACAAAATCAATTTTCTCAAAATTTATTAATAATGCCTCATAAACAAATAATCCGAAATAAGCCATTCTTATCTCGCTAGAAGCGCTGAAATCTTAGCCTTCCAACGAGACCAAAATCATCTTGCTACGATTTTTCTGTGCGACGATTTTGACGATTATATCGGCTCGCGATCTCGATCTCGGAAGAAAATTAATTCTATTTTCAGAAATATTAAACGATAACTCATAAACTAATAATCCGAGATGAGCCATTCTTATCTCGTTAGAAGCGCTGAAATCTTAGCTTTCCAACGAGACCAGAATCATCTTCCTACGATTTTTCTGTGCGAAATTCTTGACAATTATATCGACTCGCGATCTCTTAATTCTCATTCAGAAGCAGCAGACGTCGCATATACGCGGCGTCTCGCGCGGTGTCTGGCGCAGCGGTGTTTACTACCGAACACATGTGCCTCGTGTGTTTTAATCCCAGTTTTTTTAGGGACGTAGTACGCCCGCGTACTACTTGCGTAAAATTCGCGCGGCCTTTTTTCATGAATGGTGCGCGCGCGCAGGATTTTTAAAACGCTATAACTTGGCGAAAAATCGACGTAGAGACACGAACCAAAAACCAATCTTCTTCGTTTCGCATCCCGCAGATATCTACACTGAATATGTATGCCCCTATCATGAAACTTACACACAGCAATGTAATAAAAAATAAAATGCTGAAATATAAATTATACGTATAACTGCTAAATATAACAATTAGCTGACAAACTATGTTAGACTGTACAGCAAGTAAATTAAAGTTTGATTTTTTATCATTAATCATCCCATTTTATTGACATGCTTTATTTCTACTAGCACTTTGGAATAATTAAATGTGTCAAGTTTTGTATCAAACTTGTATACTTTTTGCCGACAAAATTTGTAGCACACACTGTTCTGGATTTTCACTAGAAAATTATTTAAACTTTCTTTTGTACATACAAGATTGCTCCGTTTATATCGGACAATCAATACAATTGCACTCTGATCAAATTAAACTTTGCATTGTTCTATTTTTGTTAAAAATAAACTAATACTTTTTATTTGAATTAAATTTTTATCCAATAAAAATAGACTAACTTGTAGAGGCCCTCCATCATCCCCGCCGATTTTGATCGGCGGTCCTCTTTTCATTACAATTTAGTTTTATCGTGTTTATTATTTATGTTATTTTACTTATAATATACTTTACAATGCATAGAACATTATAATGCATAGAACATTATAAAAGAAATAATTACATTATAAAATTAAAAATATAACATATGTACAATAACTACAATATTTCTCTCGACATTATACAGGGTGTCCCTGACTATCCGAATCTCTACCTACCCGTACACCGATCTATAGATCTACTTATCCATACGTACGCTTGCCCAAAGGTGGACATTGGCTACGTAGTTCAACGTGCACGTTTCAATGTCTACAATCGCCGGCGTGGCCGCTCTCAGGTTTCTCTCTGCACGCACGTAGCACGGAACGCAACCAAAATTGTGCGCTGCGTTATCCACTTGAAAATGAGCGTAGCACTAATACGCACTAAGTGGACGGAGTAATTCAAAAAATGAAAGTGGACGTAAGGCGCTGAAAACAGCCTAGTGAAACGATAACAAATAAAACGCCGGCGTAGCCGCTCTCAGGTTTCTTTCTGTCTTAAAACAGTCTTGAATATAAGATTTGAATATGAATACCGGCCTAAAATAGGTACAAGTAAGGGCATCTGTAGCAGTGAACAACGAATACGAACTCCGTTCGTCTTATCAATAATCCGTATTATTGTACAGTAGATACATTATCTTCAAGGTTCCCTTATCGATTTAAACGTACTTAGTCGGCAGTATACCGTATATTGCTATTACCGTCAAGAACATTGATTTCTGATGTAGCTAGGGCTACAAAGAAGGTACGAGAATAACCGACGCTTGATACTCGCAGAGTTCTTCTTATTGATTTTAAGAGGGACAATATCTAAAATTCAATATCTACCGTTCTCAGTAGAAGAAATGAAAAGTAGCAAAAAAGATTGATCAAATATATTTTGCGTGACACTTTAGTGTTCGTTATAAATTTGAATATATTTGCCTTACGCACATGAGTAAAGGAACAAATAAAAATCCGCACGCTATATAAAATAAGAAATTCCCCCTCTTTATCTCGAAGTTAGAAATTAATTAAAAAATATCTCTCTGCGTACTTTAATTCTTCTAATGGGAACTATTCAAACTATTCTATATCTCTGTTATTTTTAACTTATCATTATCACTATTTTATAAGAAAATAAAATACAATTTTTCTTTGTAATAAACATAAAACAAGTACTATTAAAATAGCTACAATTTTCAAAGACGTTTAAATGATTCTATTTAATTTTTCTTCTTTTCTTTTTCCTTTTCTCTCTTCTTCTATAATTTTTTGCATTATTGTATAATATAACAAAGATATTACCAATTTGAACTCGCATAACAGGTAAAATGATAAAACGTACAGATGGTGTAAGTTTATCCAATACTTATGTCTTTTTCATTTACTTATCAATATTATTTTAATACTGGTTGATGTAAATATTTCTTGGAAATAATACCGAATTGTATCAAGAAGATATATTAAACAAACTTTGCTGTGTCTAATTTTAATTTTAGTTTGCCACTATAATTACTACGATTAAACAAGAATCTCAATTCCTTCGTGATTTATCTTGGTAAGATAATAAGGTTCTCTGACTTAACATTCTTCAACTACTTCGTCGGCTACTTTTCCCTCATAATCTCCCAGCACGATCGCATAAAATTACTCCTTCCCTCCTGGTTATTTTGGCACTGGCGAACAAACGCCGGAAACTTTTCGGCCCCACTGACGCGGGCTTATGCTAATGACGGGAATTCTAATCGCAGATTATAATTGTTAATTCGTTAAATGATCCACAACTTTTGTGTATTTCCATTTTCCTGCGTCGTTCCATTTAAAACTCGTTGACTTATGTCCGGTAATAATGTTACTTCTTTTTTTATATCAACCAAAAACTGTTCTTATTCCTCAAAGCAATATTATTTTTAATTCATGCATTAGTATTAAAATAAAAAAGATTTAAATTATTATATGACAGATCTTACATGTAATATTAATTTTAATTTATTAATATTTCATATTAAAATATTTATTAAAAAATGCAAGAAGAAAAACCTATGTATTTAATATCGTACATTAATTATTTATAACAATAAGGAAGTAGTAGTTTAAATTTTAAATAAAATTATTACATTCCATTTAAAATCATAGTCTCGTAGAACGTAGATATATCTATGACAGTTCGTCAATATTTGAGACTTTAAGTTTCTAGCTTGTAGTTTTTAAACTTAAAAGTCTTGAATTTTTTACAATCGTCAAATTTATAGAGTATAAAGAATTAATCATCTTTTTAGCTGACAGTTCTATTCTTCCGCCATATCGTCAATTTTTCA